AGGAAGGAGGAAGGAAGGAGGAAGAAGGGGAAGGAGGAGGAGGAGAAGAGAAAGAGGAAAGTAGGAAGGAAAGGAAAATACAGAAAAAGGAATGAGACGGAGGGAGGGAGGGAGGAAAGAAAGGAGAATACAAAAGAAGGAGGAAGGAAGGCAAGAAGGAAGGGAGTTCCCAGCCTCCATCCATCCCCCAAACATCCCCTCCTTCCTTCCCAGTATGCTCAGTTGAAAACTCAGATGGGGATTGAGAGAGCTGCCAATTATGTCACTACATTTCACAGATCAATTGGCATAAATGTTAAAATTAAAATGTAACATTTGAAAATCATTTTTTTTTTTTTTTGCTTTATGACAAGGGGTTCCAGTTTATCATTTACAGCTTGCGAAATGGAGGCTCCGCTGACAGATCTCAGCTCCTCTGACAGGTCTGGATTTGGGCCGATTCTGGTGTCAACCTGATCGCTAACTCAAATTTGTGTTTAACTTTTTTGCAAAGTTAATTACAGATTACCACCCAAATGTTAAACATAAATAAGGACACCTTTCCCCTCTTTACGCTGGGAACCCTGCCATGCCTTGCTTCAAGAGATCATTACTGTGAGGCCCATATGTCTCCGGCAATGTAGCCAGAACCTCCCCAAAGAGAGGGAGGGAGGGAGGGGGCGGCTCCCCAGGAGGAGAATGACGGCAGAGGGGGCCAGTGCTTCCCCCGGAAGGAGGCAAGGGGCCGGAGCCACTGCAGAGCTGGACACACACACAAGGTTTGCCCCAAGCAAACGCCTCCCCACCGGCCCCCTTAAAAAGCCCCAGAGCCCCACAAAATGGCCGCCAAACGTTGCGCGATGCCACTTCTCTGACCGCAGAGATCTTCCATCCCCGTCCCAGACGCTGCCTCCGCTCGCTGAGCCAGCCGTTCCCGTTTCCTGGTCCTTCACCCACCAGGAGCAGCCATATTGGATGAAGGCAGAGGGCAACCCACCCACTTCAGCCGGGGGGGGGGGCAGGGGTCCCAGAGAGGAAAGGGGTCTTTGGTGCTCCACAAACTGTGCCCAATCAGCCCCCAAGGGCCATCCCGTGGGGCCCCAAGCAGCAGCAAGCAGAGAAGGGCCTCATAAGGAGCCCGTCACTAACGTCCCAACTGAGAACCGGAAGTCAAAACTAAGAAAGGCATTTCTTGCTACGCAGAACGAAGGTGGAAGGCTTTCACACTTACAATAGGCGTGCCAAAAGGAATGTAACCTAAGGGGGGAAAAAAAAAAGAAAGGCGTGGTTTGAGACCCAGACGATCCCTGAGCCCAAGAAGAGTTCCTGGATGTGGGGGCGGCAAGAACTCCGGGAAACACTAGAGGGCAGCATACAAGAGACGTTCCACCGGCGCCCTCTAATGGCTGGCCAGAGTTTTGCAGCCAGGATTCCCAAATGGGGGTAAACTCAAAACCCCCAGAATGCCCAACCACGTGAGGAATCCTGGGAGTTCTAGCCCAAATACACCTGTTGGGTGAGGGAAGGAGGCTCCTGTTAACTATTCCCTTAGCGTGCCTACGCTGCCTTTCCTTCTTCCCATGAGAGAAGACACAGAGCAACAAGGTTTCACACAAGGGCAGAGGGTGGATTTACAGGCCCTGGAGCCCCGAGTGGAGGACGGTCACGTGGGCTCCTTAACAGCCAATCGAGGTCACCTGAAGGGGATGGGAATCCGAGGGTGGGGCGCGACTCCTGAGGCCATCAGGTCCAGCCCCAGGGCAGGAAGCCAACCTCAAGGACTCTGGGCAGATGGCTCTCCCTGGTTGACCAGCTGGGATCCGTCCGGGTGACCGATCTCGTCATCCTCACCCTCTTTTACCCGCTTGGTAGTTTCCAGCGGGAGGGAGGCGGGGGACAGTGGAGGGACCCTCGGCTTCTGGGAATCGGGCTGTCCTCTGAAAGCGGGGCAGAGAATTTCTCCTGCCGAGCTAGAGAGCGGTCATGGAGTGGCTGGACACTGACCGCACTTGAGAAGCACCGAAGTTTGGAGGCGAGCGCCCGAAACACAGCAAATCTGCACGAGGGCCATACCAGGGGTGGGGTCCTACCAGTTTGGTCCGGTTCTATAGAACCGGTAGCTCCGAAGAGCAGCTGACACCGAACCGGTTTGCTGGGATGAGGTTTTGGTCTGCTGTTTGGCCCACCCACCAGCCTGGGCTCTAGGCTGTCCTGTAGTGGCTGCGTTTTCCTCCTCGGCTGTTTTGTGCCGCACAGCTGAGTGGTCGCTTGTCAGCTGGAGAAGGTAAATGCTTGCCAGAGCCAAGAGCATGCACGCACATGCAGCGTGCATTCGACGTGCATGCGTGTGCTCCCCGAACCGGTCGTTATGCAAGTCGGATCCCACCCCGGGCCATACCTGACATTCGGAAAGGCATGAAGATGGTCTCGTTCGTGTCCGGATGGATGATGGCCTGGAAAAGGAGGAAACGCAGTGAAATTGGAGGCAGGTACCCTGGAAACCGCCACCCTCCTAAGTAAACCAGGCAGGAAACACCCCCAAGATGAGCCAATTCTATTTTTATTGTAAGGCTACACTCCCCAAGTCTTGCATACAAACCTCCCACTGTCTCTTTTACAGCCTGAGATGTCCAGGCGGCTCATTTCTAAATTTCTTTCTCCACCCTTTTCTCAGTTATGGCTCCTTCCCCTCTTACAGATTAAGAGTCGGAAGGGACCTTCTAGGTCATCTAGTCCAACCCCCCCCCCACCCAAGCAGGAGACCCTACACCATTTCTGACCAATGGCAGTCCAGTCTCTTCTTGAAAGTCCCAAGTGATGAAGCTCCCACAACTTCCGAAGGCAACTTCTGTTCCATCAGTTGATTGTTAAATTCCTCCTTATTTCCAGGTTGACTCTCTCCTTGCTCAATTTCCATCCATTATTCCTTGTCTGGCCTATAGGGGCCTTTCAAAATAGCTTGACCCCCCTTCTCCTCTCTGTGGCAGCCCCTCAAATATTGGAAGATGCTCTCATGTCTCCCCTGGTCCTTCTCTTCACTGGACTAGCCAGGCCCAGTTCCTCCAAACGTTCATCTAACCCCTCCTCGGGCAACACCTCCCCACCTTTTATGGGGCCCTTCTCATCTTCCATTACAAAAAACCTTTTTCTTGGCCCCTGAGGGAGGGGATTAAAATCACTGCCCCTCCCCCAGCCACCCAGGCTGAAGTCAAGCTAATCGGGGTGGAGGTAGAGGAAGAAAAACCTTGCTTTATCCTTATGGGAATGCGGAGGAACCTAAACTCCAAATCCCGCCTCTTCCCAAAGCCAGGCTGCTGGAATGGCTGCGCCCTGCAAGGCCTCGCGCTCTGGAGAAGCAGAGGGCAAATGGAAAGACAAAGGCTTCCTGGGCTTGGCCCCACTATGCCCAGGATGGCTACTTGGGGACCAAGAGGCACCTGGCCATCACAAGGGAGACCTGCCTTCCCCGCCAGGGCCAAAGGCGGCCCCAAGAGAAGCATCCTCCATCCCCCAAGAGGGACCCTGCGCGGGTTACCTGTTTTATTTTCTGTGCTCTCCAAAGCTGGAAAAGGAAAAGACATGGTTAAGGAGGCTGGTTCAAACACACACACACACGAGAGACCCTTATCCAAAAATGAGGGGGGGGAGGTGGCAAGGAGGAGAGCAGGAGGTCAAATTCATTGGAGGGGAAGGAAAGCTCTGAGTGATACCCACCTCAACCCGACACCGACTGAGGGGACGGAAGGGGGTTGACTAACCCTGCCCTACAACTGGAGCCAGACAGATGCTTGTAGTGGGGGGGGGGGGAGGTGTGCTGCAGCTGGTTAGATGGGGCGGGGGCAACATTGCCCCCCTCTTGGAGCAAGGAAGGGGGGGCGCTTCCTCTCCTTAGGCCAATCAAGGCAGAGTCCCACCCTCAGGAAAACAGCTGGCCGGGGCCTCTGCAGACCCGTCCTAGAAGGACCACTGAATTCAAGGAGATGGTTTTTGATGTCCCCCTCCGGTCCTGCTCTGTCAACAGCCAAGGGCCTCCCCCCCAAAAAAAGTTTTCAAAATCAGAGAGGCCTCGGGGTCTCTTGCTGGACATCTGGGCAGTTCTGTGGCCGAGGCCTGAAGACATCTCAGTCTGCACCTCAGAGACAACCATTTCTTGTGTCTTTCACGTCAATTTGGTCACGCAGAAATAAATGTTTGGGGTGCCGGAAGAATTGTTGAATGAAAGAAGGGGAAATGGTGTCACAGAGAAGCCCAATGCAAGCAGGATTCCTGCAGGAGAACGTCATTATCGATCCAAGCGGAAGCAGTTCTTTTGTGGTTCAGGGTCTCTGATCAGGTAAACAAAGGAAGAGGCCGCATTTTCAGCTTCCCAGTAAACTCTTTCTGCAGTGGTGGGATTTAATTTTTTTTTACCTACGGGTTATGTAGGGCGTGGTTTGGTGGGCATGGTGTGGCTTGGTGGGCAGGGCAGGGGAAGGATATACTGCAAAATCCCCCTTCCCTCCCCACCCCACTAACCTGCTTCCATTCTCCTGTGCAGGGCAACCAAAGAAGACCCAGAAAAGCCAGTTGGGTCTGCGGTGCAGATTAGGGTCCTGCATACTGACACCTGCTGTCCAGTGAGGGTTTGCTCCATATGTGGACCAGTCAGGGTGCTGATTGAAGGGATTCTCTGCTCTTCCAAAGCTTTGAGCGAAAGCGGCTGAGAGATGAGAAATGGGACCAGGCTTCAAAAGCCAACCGCTCCTCCTGAAGCAGTCGTTGGATTCAAGTTTTTTTACTACCAGTTCCGTGGGCATGGCTTGGTGGGTGTGGCTTAGGTATTCCCACTAACCTGCTTTCCAGCTCCGTTCTTCTGTGCAGGGCAACCAAAGGAGACCCAGCCGATCAGCTGGGACTCGGTGGGAGGCAGAGAAGAGTTGGCGGGGCCAGTCAGAGGTGGGATTGGCCGGTTCTCCGAACTACTCAATGTTTCACCTACTGGTTCTCCAGAACCGGTCAGAACCTGCTGAATGCCCACCTCTGCTCTCCTGTCACAGTTCCCACACACAAACCAAGCCTTTAGTATTTTAGGGAATTATTTTTGAGCACATCTACAAAATTGAATGGAACTGCAATTCGTCTCCGTATCGTATTCAGATGCTTGATAAGCCTTCCCAAATCTGGTGCCTTCCTAACGTGCTGGACCAATTCGCCATCCCGGCCAAGACGGTCCTTGACAGTGGTGGGTTTCAAAAAGTTTTCCTACCGTTTCGGTGTGAGCTTGTGCTTCGTGTGCACGCAGCGTTTGCAACTCACCTTCTGCTGCAAGCCCTGGGTGTCAAACAGCTGATGCATGGCAATCGGCTGTGCCGCATGAAGCAGCTGAGGTTGAAAAGCAGCAAATAAAGGTCAGTATACAGCCGGGGCAGGTGGGAGGGCCCAGCAGCTGATCGTCAGAGCAAACCGGTTTGCTCACAGATGATCCTCGGAGGTACCGGTTTGGTCGAACCGGGCTGAACCAGTAGAATACCTCCAGTGCTCCTTGATCCCTACGCATCCGGAGGTCGCAGAGTGGCCAAGGCTTAGCATGTAAGCGGCTTGCCCGTCTTTCATCCTTTGCGCAAGAGATGGCTAGCAGGAGGGACCGTCTGGATGACACACAAACACACATACACGCACACCGCCGGCAGTCTCCTCTTTCTCATCAGCCTTTTCCTTCTCACATCAGCCTCCTCTTCACAGCGGATTCCGCTGGGTTCCGCTCAGTTTGCTTTTGGTGCTTAAATTGGCCTCCAAAACACTTTTTAGCACCCGAGCCAGCCCTGCCGTTCCACATGATTGGATGTGTGTGGCTGAACTCGAGAGACATCGGCCTCGAATAGCTGGGGTGGGAAAAGTGGCGAGGCGCCTGGCTGTCCTCCAGCTGTGCAAATCAGAAGCTCAATCTTCTTCTGATCGCACCCAGCCGAGGAGGAGCCGCCGAGAAGTCCTGACAGAGCCAGGAGATTTAACGCAGGTATAAAACAGCAAAAAGCAACTGCAGAGGAGGAGCCGGTAAGTTCTGCAAGGGACAAGGTAATAAAAAAATCCAGAGCAGTTAAATAACCACTTTACCACTGTTAATTAATGAGTCCTCACAACATCCTCGAAGGAAGTTGGAATGGAAGGAAGCTGGGAAGGATTCAAGCTGCCCAACCGGTCACTAAGTGGAGCAGATCCCAAAGGCTCTCCCAGGGGGGCCTCTCACACAATTGTGTGGACTGCAGGGGGCATTGGAAGGTGAGAAAAGGCTCTTTTCTAATGCTAATTAAGGCTGGGAAGAAAATGGAGCCGTGTGTGTGTGTGTGTGTGTGTGTCTGTGTCTGTGTGTCTGTGCGCGTGTGCGTGTGTGTTTGTGTGGAACGACTATCCTAGTTTGGCCAGGAAGCAGCCAGTGGGGAGGAAGAAGAGCCCACCCACCCCTGTTGATTCTCTCCAAAAAGGTCTCTGAAAATTTCCCTGAGATTCCCTCTTCGGAATCTTCTTTTCCTTTCCACCGACTTTCATTGTTTGCTCTGACATCCAGTTTGCTTTCTTTATCTTCCTCGGTCTCCTTCTCGCGTTCACCCCTGACACCTTCCTTTTATTTTCCTTCCACAGTTCCTCTGATCCCACGAGAGTCAGGAAGGGCAGTTTCTTTGAAAGAGGGCGGGCCTGTGTCCAAGCAGGCTGGCTGGCTTGGAACTTGCTCGCTTCCAGTCTGTGGTCCAGTGGTGGGTTTCCCATTTTTTTTCCCCCTTCCGGTTCTGAGAGCGTGCTTCGCTTCGCATGTGCGTGCACGGGGGCTCAAAGATTGCCCTCGGTGTCAACGCTGGTGGAGCTGAGCTGTGCAATTGTTAGCTCAGCTGAGCCGCATGAATCAGCTGAGCCGAAAAAACACGGGAATATAGGAGAGATAACAGCGGGGATGGGTGGGTGTGGCCATCCAGAGGTGGCATTTGCCTGGTTCTCTGAACTACTCAAAATTTCTGCTTACCGGTACACCAAAACCGGTCAGAAGTGGCTGAATACCACCTCTGGTCCGTGCCGCAGGCAGCCCTGACCAGCCCTCCACTGGGGCAGCTCAGATCGTCAGTAACTTTCATCAGGGGGAGGGGCAGCGAGCATCTCTTCCTCGCAAGCTGCTCCGGGGGAACCTGCTGGTTGCGGCTGGGCTGCTGGCTGTCAATTGCGGCGCAACTTCGGGACTGTTCCACAATCTGCCCAGGCCCAGGCCTGGCCCTGGAGACCCCCAGGTGAAGGGCTGACCCTGGGCTCCCCAGTGGCAGCTGAAACCAGAGCTAGAAGCTGGGATCTGGGCCAGGAGAAGGTCCTCCATTTCAGAATTCAGAACTCAAGGGCTTTAGGGCAGGGGGTCTCCAAACTTGGCAACTAAGACTTGTGGACTATAACTCCCAGAGATCTGGAAACTGAAGTCCATAAGTTAAATGGGGGGGGGGGGGGGGGGGGAGAGAATCTGAAGGAGCAGGGCGGCAGTTCAAAACCAGAAGTACATTCCACCATTATCTTAAAAAGATTGTAACTAGGCTACCAGATCTTCTGCCCACGAAATCCCTTAATTGGATAATGTGATTGATGACACCCAGCCATCAACGTGCTTCATTGGCGCATCTGATTTATGATACACCCAGGGGGGAGGGGAGAAGGAGGGTTACAGGTGACTGTATATTACGTATCCCAGAGCTGGCTTCATTTAGGTTAATGCTGGCATGTTGCTCCTAATAAATCTTCTGAGTTGTTTTTTTTTGAAGCTTGGCTCGAGCCTCATGATTCAATTAGGGCAATCGCCGGAACCCTGACATCTTAAAGTTGCCACGGTTGGAGACCCCTGCTTTAGGGCATCTATGAAATACAGGTGACTTCAACTTTCCCTTAGCAAACTTAGCAAACACTTGAAGTTGTGACCTCACTGGGAAAAGGGAATTCCATCCCTACTCTGAAATTCGAACGGTTGCCACTCTCCTTCCTCTCAGCCTCTATGGCTTCAGGGACTTGGGGCACCCAACTGCACTTATGGGGTCACACGATCATGTGACTGTGCTTTACGATATTTTTGGAAAACCACAACATTGCAAACAATGGGTTTGCTTAATGACCACGGGGTTCATTCTATGACCACCATGTTCACCAGGAACATAATGGCTATCATGACCACCACAAAAAAGTTGTAAAATCATGTTACATGGCCAACCTGATTTATGACCGTCATTACATAGTACCATAACGGGCAGGTTCTCTTGTGGCCGTATGTTAAGGACTGCCTGCACAAGCTCTCATCAGCTGTCCAATATGGTCAAAGCATCAAATGCTGCTGGATGCCAGCCAGTGGTGGGGTTCAAATTTTTTTACTACCGGTTCTGTGGGTGTGGCTTGGTGGGTGTGTCAGGGGAAGGATACTACAAAATCCCCGTTCCCTCCCCACCCCACTAACCTGCTATCCAGCTCCGTTCTCCTGTGCAGGGCCACCAAAGGAGACCCAGCCGATCAGCCGGGACTCAACAGGAGGCAGAGGAGAGATGGGGGTTGGCGGGGCCAGTCAGAGGTGGTATTTGCTGGTTCTCCAAACTACTCCAAATTTCCGCTACCGGTTCTCCAGAACTGGTCAGAACCGGCTGAATACCCCCCTCTGATACCAGCTATTAAATAATGCCAATTATGGAATCCAAACTATCGAACCCCTGAGCACCTGGATCAAGAAGGATCAAAGGAGAATACTTGGAAAACACCTGGCAGTTCCACCCGGCACATTCCTGCCCTTTTGGAGGAATCCTCTGGGATCTAGCAAGAGGGAATTCCTCCCCCCCAAAACATCGCCCTACACACCTCTGCTCCTCTTGGGAAGAGACGCTCGAGGGCCCTTTGTGGCAACGGGGCAGGGGGCTACTGAGGCACAGGCAGGAAGGGCCCAGCTGCCACACACTCTGCATCAGCAGCATCTGGCTACCTAACCTCTGGTTGTCCCACACCAGGCCCAGGTCTCTCCTTCAGGGGACGGTGGGGGTTCCTTCCCTCCGATCACCTCTTGGTTGGTGGTTCCCGGGGGCAGCGAGCCCTGCTTGTAGTCTTCCAGCAGCTGCATGGCTTCCTTGAAGCGACTCTGCAAAGATAGAGCAAGCATCAGTCCCAGCCTTGAGGAAAGGAAGGCACCCCAAGAGACCTTGGAGGACTTCATCTCAAATGATCTAAGTGCTGGAGCCCACTGGAACTACATAGCCAAAAAGGCATTAACAGTTGTTAACCTAATCCTGCGTAGCTTTTTCTCTGGTAATATCACACTACTAACTAGAGCAGGGGTCTCCAACCACCGGTCCATGGACCGGTACCGGTCCGTGGAACATTTCCTACCGGGCCGCCGGTTTGCTGGGCACCGCCATCTTGTTTGACGAGAAAGTGCTTCCGGGTGAGCTTTTCCGGTTGGAAAGCGGCGTTTGGGTGCTGAAGGAATCCTCGCGCCTTAGTTTCATCGAAGGGGGGGGGCTTCGAACGAAACTAAGGTGCGAGGATTCTTTCAGCACCCAAGGCAAGGCGAGCCGAGCGACCGTCCCGAAGCCGTCCCGAAGCGAAGCCCATCGACAAAGGTACAAAGGAGGAGTTGAAGGTGGCGGGGAGAAGCGGGGGACGGCTGGCTGGCTGGCCGGTCGCTTGGCTCACCTTGCCTTGTCATGCGTGCTGATGCCGGTACCGGGCCGCGGATCATTTTGTGATGCCGGTACCGGGCCATGGCACAAAAAAGGCCACTGAACATACAAAACATTTGATAGACCAATACTCGAATACAGTTCATCAGTCTGGAACCCGCATTACGTATCTGATATTAACACAGTTGAGAAAGTCCAGAAATATTTCCTAAGAAGAGTTCTCCACTCCTCTACTCGTTGCAGAATACCTTATGCTAACAAACTTGAAATTCTAGAGCTAGAAAACCTAGAACTATGCCGCCTTTGGTCCGATCTAAGTATAGTATATAAAATCATACATTGCAATGTCCTACCTGTCAATGAATACTTCAGCTTCAACCATAACAACACAAGAGCACACAATAGATACAAACTCAAGGTTAACCGCACCAAACTTGATTTCAGGAAATACGACTTCAGCAACAGAGTGGTCCATGCCTGGAATACCCTACCTGACTCTGGTTTCTTCCCCAAACCCCAAAAACTTTAACCTTAGACTGTCTACTATTGACCTCACCCCTTTCCTAAGAGGTCTATAGGGGGTGTGCATAAGCGCACCAACGTGCCTACTGTCCCTGTCCTATTGTTTCTTTTTATTTTTCTTATATGTATTCATTTCATGTATTCATAACTATGTTTATACTTATACCTGTTATCTTGTAAGCGATTGACAAATCAAATAAATAAATAAAATAGAAGAGGCAGGGCGGGTTAAGCCTCACTGGTACCCTAAGCACTGACAAATCTTGGTGCCTCCCCCTTCTTTTGTGCATACTGTACATACTTTGGGCCTGGTGCCCTAAGCACGTTGCTTAGTCTGCTTAATGGTTCATACACCACGTTGCTTAGTCTGCTTAATGGTTCATACACCGCTGCCAAGAGGGCCAGGGCCTCGCTTGGCCTCCTACTTCTGGGCAACGTCCTCAGCCGGGGAAAGAGGAGCTGGGGCTGTGCTTGGGACCCTCCCGAGAAGAGGGGCACGAAGCAACCGCTAGCGAGGCTCGAAGCAGCTGGCAAGGCCTTGCCTGAGCTCCCCTTTCAAGGCAGCGGGTCTGTCTCGCGAGAGAAGAAAGGACACCCTGCCAGCCATGCCGGCAGCCCCAGAGCATCCGAGAAGTCCCAGAGTGGGCCAGTGGCGAAGGCAGCAAACGGAGCCCTTGGGTTCTCTCTCGCCCGGGGTGATAATTCAGAGGGTTCCTCCCAAGCCAGGCAGGAGGCCCCTTGGGAGAGTTCATGTATTCCTTTCTTTATTCAATAAATCAATATGGCCGGGCCGACTCACCCACGGCAAGTCCTCCCTCACCATCACGCAAGGTTGCAATTGCTCTAAAGCCCTTTCAAAGCCCGTTCGTTTCAGCCCTGCAAGCCTCAAGAGGGAGCCACTCATGCCGGCCAGCCTCCAAGGTTCAAGGAGACCCTTGGAAGCCCCAACCCCCACGATCCTCTGAGCTAGGAAGCCAGTGCTATCCGGTCAGTCCCCCCCTCCGCTTCTCCACCAGCCACCCTTTCCTTGAAGGGTCCTTGTGGCTTGTTGGGTGGTTTTCTTGCAGATGTTTCATGACCCAACTAGCTAACGTCATCAGAGTGAACCCTACCCCCTTCTAGCACTGATGGCATTCCCCGGTTGGGTGATGAAACGTCTGCAAGAAAACAAGCAAGCTCAGAGGGCACCCAGTGTCAGCCCGACATTCGGGGGTCAGGGTGGCCGTGCACGTTGCTACGAAACCCTATGACTCCCGATCATATAAGCCGCCAGTCGTGGACATTGCTATGAAGCCCTGTGACTCCCAATCATTTAGCTGCCGTGAGCCTGCAGCCGTAACTCGAGCGATGGCAGAAGAGGTGAGAGGGAAATCGCATAGGACCGACAGCTGGGGGGGGGGGGGAGCTCCTCTCGGGAAATCTGAGCTTGTGCCTGCCAGTCAGGGCGTGCCAGGATAATTGGGGCAGGGCACATCAGGTGTCTTAAAGATGGTGGGGCAAGCTAAGGGATTAGCCCTGACTTTAATCTCTGTTAGCTTGCATTGTCTAGCAGCGGGTCAGTTTAAGTGCTTGCAAACTCCGGAGGAAGATAAACTGCTTACATCAAATCCCGTTGTGGCTGTTGTGCTTTCTTTTGGTCGTGTGATGGCACCTGACACCCAGGACCAGCGGTGGTATGCTATCGGTTTGGACCGCTTTGCCTGAACCGGTAGTTAAAAAAAAAAAAAAGGCCTCCAATCAGCTCAGAGGATAAAAGAAGAGAAAAGTTGGGTGGGAGGGTCGCTCCTCGATTTTTGTTTCTTCATCCTCTCAACTGATTGGTGTGTTAGGGGCACGCGCGCGTCTTAGGGGCATGCATGCGCACAATGGATCACCCACCGAACTGGTAGTAGGCTCCCACTTACTGCCCAGGACCCCTGATTTCAACCCTGAGCTACAAAGATTCTCCTTTTTTGGGGTACAAAGGCAGCGCCATGGGAGACGGTGTGGGGGAGAGTGAAGAACTTTGGCAGCACCCAGTGGCAGACATTGGACAAAGGACCAAGTCCATCTCGTAAGCTGGACTTTTCTCCAAAGGCTCAGGGACCCTAATTGCAGCCAGGGACCCCCAAGGCAGCTCACATCCCCCCCCGGTACACCTGCTCTCAATGGGGCAGGCCCAGAACAGCCCTAGAGGCGGGAGGGGAGGGGGCATCCAAGGCCAGAGGAGAACCAAGGTTCCCCTCCCCACCACCTGCTGATAGGAGCCTCCAGAGCCAGGCCGGTGAATGGTAACCAAGCAGCCAAGAAAGTGACCCATTTTCCTGTGAAAAGGCAGCCACGCTCTGCTTAACATTCCTGGGAGGCTCTCTCTTCTCTTCATTAGCATGTTTTTGGGACACCCAAATTGTCCAACCCCAGGCCGCCTTTGCGACTGGTGCTTCCCTTCGCTCTTCCGAATGAAAAACCCAGAAAATTGCATCAATGGATGTTCTTGTCCACTCCCAGTTACTATAACAACCTTGGCAGGGGCCCGGCTGGCTACACAGGACCAAGGCCACCCCCCCACCCCAAGCAGCACAAAATGGGCCAGACTTGCCTGAAAGTTTTTGGGCCCACTTTTTCGAGGGGCTGAGAGAGAAGCTCGCCCTGAGGGAAGACACAAGCATGCAAATCTCCGAGCAAGGTGAGCCTGGATGTGGGTGGGGGGCCCACACCGCCAGGAAGTACGGCCCCCCCAATCTGGGATTTGGCCAAAGCACAAGTAAATGCCCCCTGCCCTTACCCTCCACAAGTAAATGCCCCCTGCCCTAACCCCCCCCCACACACAAGTAAATGCCCCCTGCCTTCTTCCTTCACTGCATCCCAATAATGCTGCCCCAATCTATAAGATTAGGTAGATAAAGGTAAAGGTTCCCCTCATACCTACGTGCTAGTCTTTCCCAGCTCTAGGGGGCGGTGCTCATCTCCATTACAAAGCCAAAAAGCCAGCGCTGTCCGAAGACGTCTCCGTGGTCATGTGGCCGGCATGACTAAACGTCGATAAGGCGCACGGAACGCCGTTACCTTCCCACCAAAGGGGTACCTATTTTTCTACTTGCATTTTTTAACGTGCTTTCGAACTGCTAGGTTGGCAGAAGCTGCTGGGACAAGGAACGGGAGCTCACTCCGTGACGGGGGTGCTAGGGATTCGAACCTCCAAACTGCCAACCTTTCTGATCAACAAGCACAGCGTCTTAGCCACTGAGCCACCACTTCCCTTTAGGTAGATAAGATCACCTTTATTGTCATTTTTTTCCCCCTGTGGACACACAGGCACCCATTACAAATGAAATTCTGTCGCCTGCGCTCAAAAGTGGACCCATGTATAACCCAACACACATAACACAACACATACGCACCTCTACTTATAACCAGTGGCATACTGATCATTTGATGTTGCAAGAGACCCCCTCCCCAAAGATACTTAGCGCCTGGTTCTGAAGGCCTGACTTCTACCCCCTCCCCACCATCCTGCAATCGTATTCGGAGGGCTCGGCAACCCGCCGGCATTTACAGCTGTTTGCATTTACAGTCCCCTGAATGTTTTTGCCCAAAACTACATTTACATCTGGGTCCTGGCCAAGAACACCCTGTAGCGCAGGGTGTCCCTGTAGCGCAGGGGTCCCCAACCACCAGTCCCCGGACCGGGACCGGTCCGTGGATCATTTTTTACCGGGCCGCAAAGCTTGGGCGCCGCCATCTTGTTTCAACGGCGCTTCCGGGTTTTCGGTTGCTTCCGGGTTTTTGGTTGGAAAGTGCTTCCGGTTTTTCAGTTGGAAAGCGGCATTTGGGTGCTCGCGCCATAGTTTCGTCGAAGGGGGGGGCGGCTTCGAACGAAGAGCCGTCCAGATGGCGGTGGAGTCTCGTGTTACTCAGGTACCGGTCCGTGGAAGAATAAATAATCGTGAAACC